GCTCCATCTCCCCATGCTGGGGGGGTCCAGGGGGCTGGAGAGGGAGCGTGGGGCTGCTCGGTGGGGAGGGGAGCGGTGGATGTCACCCCCTGTCCCTAAAGGGCACAGAATCCCAGCCTGGTTTGGGTTGGAAGAGACCTTAAAGCTCCTCCAGCTCCAACCCCTGCCACGGGCAGGGACACCTTCCACTAGAGCAGGTTGCTCCAAGCCCCTGTGTCCAGCCTGGCCTTGAACACTGCCAGGGATGGGGCAGCCACAGCTTCTCTGGGCACCCTGTGCCAGCGCCTCAGCACCCTCCCAGGGAAGAGCTTCTGCCCAAGAGCTCATCTCAATCTCCCCTCTGGCAGGTTCAAGCCATTCCCCTTGTCCTGTCCCTCCATCCCTTATCCAAAGCCCCTCTCCAGGTTTCCTGGAGCCCCTTCAGGCACTGGGATACTGTTACAAGGATTTAGGTGTCCTATGAACTACTGCTCCTTTATGGGTGGCAAGGGGGACGTGTGTCATGCCCCATCCCCACCTCTCTGCTCACTGAGCAGAGCACAGGGGGGAGTCTCACCCTCCTTCTCCCCACCAGCAGCTGCCCTCAGTGCCCTGCCCTTGGAAGGCATTCCAGGATTCCTCCAGGCTTAAACCTCCCCATCCCTTCCCATCAAGAGGGATTTGAAGCTGGGAGAAGGGGGGCTTAGCTCCTGGCTCGCCCATTACACCCAGGAATTAGGATCCATTACTGCTCTTCTGGTACAAGCAGGGCCCCTGCTCTAAATCCGCACCCCCTCCCCTCATAATGCGCCGGGCTCAGACCCAGCTCTATGTAAATAAAGTGCAGGGACAAAGATTGTGATCCCATTAGGCAGGATTAGTGCCTTGTGAGGGCCTGGCATTAAAATGTCACTGACGGTGGAGAGAGAGAGCTGGGGTCATCCCTGTTCCTGGCCCCTTCCCTATTGCCAGCTTTTGGCATCCAATTTATCCCGTCCACCACTGCCTGCAGTTCAGCCCTGGGGTCTTGGCATGGGCAGGATGGGGATGGCAGGGTTTGGTGGCACCTGGTCCATGGAGGGGACTGTGCCAGGCTGGCATGGCATGGCATGGCACAGCACCCGGCTGATGTCCCCGGGAGCTCAGCACCATCCCGTGCCACCGGCAGATGTGCAGATGTTCCTGGGGCCGCCCCTCGCTGCTGCCTTTGCAAAGTGATGAATTTCTGCACCAACTAATTAGTCTCTAATTAGCAAGTGGAGAGTAAACAGTCACAGCAGATGGGGGAGAGGCGGAATTAGCAGTAATGACCCTTCGGGTCGGGGGGACGTGGTGTCACACGCAAGGAGAACTCCCACTGCCTCCAGGACCTCTGTCCATGCTGGCTCTGCAGTGGGCAGTGAGGTGATGGGTGATGAGGTGATGGGTGACGAGGTGAAGGGGGGTGAGGTGATGGGCACCACTGTGCACCCTGGATTTGGTGGTGCCATGTCCTGTGATGCTGCCAGGATGATGGGAGAGAGGAATCCCCCTGGCACGCTGGGAGCAGGGCTGAGATACTGCGTGCCATGGAGTAGAGGCAAACCGAGGATGGGAGGCTGGAGCCTTGGTGCCATCTTCACCCCCACTAAGGGTCACCCCGTGCACCCGGGACCCCCAGCCCTACCTGGGGTGGTTTTGGCTTTCCCAAGGGATTGGAGGAGCCGGTTGTGGGGGGACAGAGGAGCTGCTCGGCCCGAGGAGGCTGCGGTGACCTTCGCGGGTGGATAACAATCGCACGATCAATAGTGGAATTAGGAGCTGCCTCTCCTGCTCGGCGCCGTTCTTCACCCCTTAATGCAGAACAGATGGCTTGGGTGCTTCAAAGCGAGATGAGCCTGAGCTGCTTAAAGTCAAATTAGGATGTATGCAAAGAGCGTGTGGGCCCAGGGGAAGGTGCGCCAGGAGCACCCTGCATCACGAACACACCTCAAACACATCCCAAATGCATCCCAGGCGCTGGGCGCTGGGATCAGTGTGGGGATGCCACTGGAGCACTCAGCCTGGGATGCCGAGTCCTGTGATCCTGTGGTTTCTGGTGGGCTCACACATACGTGACCACCATCGGTGCCTGGGGATCAGCCCGTTTTGCTGCAGGGATGCACTGGCTGCATCTTGCTCTGCCCAAACCTCAGCCTGCTCCATGGCTCATCTGTTGGTTTCATGCAGGAGGTGTGGGTGCTGCAATAACCCCACAAGCCTCCAGCCTGGCGCGGGTGAAGCTCTGGCACTGCAGGTCAAGCTCCTGCCATGCCGTGGTGGGGACACGGGTACAGGCGTGCAGAGGTGGCACACGCCATGCACAGGCACTGAGCCCCTCGCTTGCTTTGAGAGGTGCCCCGATGGCCCGATCCAGCCCGGATCTGGCACAGGGGCGCTGGGATAAGGGCTGCCTGCATCAGCCAGCGCTGCTGAAGGTCAGAGAGGAGCATTAGATTAAGGAGCTGTTTGCTGCTCCTTCCCTGCCTAATGACTCGCCTGGCATTTAGCATCCCCGCGCCCACGCTGGGGACAGGCAACAGGGTGGGTGTGAGCCAGACGGGCAGCTCCGCATGGATGCAGCAATGGGCACCCCAGGGCGTGCACGAGGAGAGGACAGGGACCCCCAGGGCCGGTCTGGTGGTGTCTCTGAGCCCCCATGGCAGCGGGACACCAGCACAGGCTGAGCCCATGGGCGCTGCTTTGGTGTGAGCTCACGGTGTGGGGAGCTGCGGCAGGAATTCAGCTTGTGCGCACAAGAAAGCAAAGCCCTACCCCGAAGAAAAAACCCAAAGCCGTGATTGAAAGCGCACTTGAAAGCTGCTGGGGAATATGAATGTGTCTTTGAAGTAAAAGGGCTTCCATTTGTTAAGCAGAAAATGGAGCTGTGTGTTTCGATTTATAGTTTTACTTAGCAAATAAAGCAGGAGAGGAGTAAGTGTTTATGTCTCGCTCCGCTCCCAGCCCCTCCACCCTCTTCACCCCCCAAGTTAAAAGCTCAGTGCTTCTGAAGCACTACAAAGGCAGCCAGGAATAAAGCAAAGCAAGCGGCTTAGATAAACCCTAGATGGGCTAAGCCCTTGTCGACAGGCTTGGGAAATGGCTGAGGGTGGGGAAGTGGCCAGTGGAGAGGTCTGGGGGGACCGGCTGGGACAGAGGGATGGGAACGTGGTCATTAGCATCCCCCTGTCCATGAGCCCATGTGCTGCTTGGTTATGGTTGTGATGAAGTGGCCCTGCTGCTGCGGGGCTGGCAGGCTATGGGGCTGGCAGGTTATGGGTGCTCACCCATGTCTCTCACCCTTCTCCCTCCTCTCTCCGCAGATGATGTCTCCCCATACTTTAAGACGGAGCCAGTGCGGAGCCAGGTCCATCTGGAGGGGAACCGCCTGGTCCTGACGTGCATGGCCGAGGGCAGTTGGCCCCTCGAGTTCAAGTGGCTGCACAACAGCCGGGAGCTGACCAAGTTCTCCTTGGAGTACCGGTGAGTCCCATCACACTGCTGAGCACCCGGCACCGATCCTGCCTGGCATGCCAGTCCCTGCCGGTGGTCACTGCAGGCATCACCGGTCCCCCTGCGAGGGGATGCTGTGCCGGGGATGCTGTGCCAGGGATAACACCATTCCCATTGCTAGGAGCTGCCTCCTCTGTTTGGAGAGCAAACGGTGGATTTAAGCAGGTCAACATCAGGGAGGAGGCGTTTGAACAAGGGGATTAACACCGGGCTGCAGCTCACCGCCGGCTCCTGGCTCCCTGAGATCAGCCTGACCAGGGATGGAGCAGGAAAGGGCAGCACAAGAGATCGCTCCGGTTTGGGACTTCCAGCCCCATGTGGTGACTAATCCTGCCGGCCCCACGTCACAACCCGCTTGGAGCTCGCCTCCAACCGAAGCCGGGTACCTCTGGTCATCTCTTGTGCCTGCGTGTGTCATCCTCTCTGTTTTAATCAATAATTCATCCTGAGACAAGCCGTTCCCCATTTAAAGGCATTGAATCCAAAGGCTTCGTGTTGCTGTAGCAACGCGGGGCTGCTCCGGGATGCCGGGAATGCAGACAATGTGTCTGGGTGACGTCCCCTCCCCGTCACCCTGTGCCATGCTGGGTGCTGGGTGCCCTCCGCAGCACGGTGCTGTGCTGGGTGCTGCAGCATCCTTGGGAACCATGGGGCTGATCCTCACTAAGCCGTGGTGGTTGCAGCTCTGCGGTGTCTCCAGTGCCCCAGGCTTGGTGGCGGGTGCCCCATGGGGCAGGTCCCTTGTCCCTAACCCCGGCGCTGAAGCTCAGAGACCTGTTGAGCCCTGTGATTCCCACAGCTCGCGCCTGTCAGGAGCCACATCGGCTGCAGCAGGAACAATACAACACGTCAGGTCTTGAATGGGGTTGTGGGGACGGTGGTGACAGCGGCGTGGGGGGAAACAGAGCCCGTGCAGGGGCTCCCCCAGGGCAGCTGCACAGTGCTGGGGCAGAGCCACACACCCTAAGTAGGATTAAGGTGTCAGGACCCTGACCCTGGGCTCTGCCCCATCTGGGGGTGCCTGGGCAGCACCTCCAAACCCAGCACTGGTTTGGACCCCCAGAACTGGGGACTCCTGTCTTCCTTTGCTGGGTCTGCTCCGTGTCTCAGTTTACCCTTCTGTAGGAAAGGTAAACTGCCCAGCGGCCCTGGAGCACCACATCCCTGCATCCCCGCATCCCCGCATCCCCGCGCCAAGGTGACTCCCTGTCCAATGAGCCCCCGGCCCCCGCCTCCAGCTCCAGCATCCAGCCAGAAAGGATTAGGGAAGGAAGCGAGCAAATAAACAAACACATGGGGAAAACCCAAACAAACCCAGGCGCAGCTAATGAAGCAAACAGCCTGGATGCAAATCACTGCCTGGCTTCAACCCGTCCTCTCCATGGTGAGGACACAACCTGCCAGCAGC